GGTGGAGCCCCCGCCGTGCTCCGCTCCCTCGGCGAGTGCGCCAAGCGCCTCCTCCGAGCATCCCACTGGCAGTTCAAACCGCAAAACCGGAGAGTTTTGCAACAAAACCACTATTTCTTGCAACTTCAGAAGTGTGGTAACGCGCCTTTTCTGTGTAATAAATGCAACGCAGCACAGCCGAGCGCTGCTGAGGCGTTCGGCGCCCGTTTCTTCTGCAGCAGCAAGGGCTAAGCTGAAATTAAACCTATTAACCCTTCTGTCCCGGGCCACCCGCAAAGCCCAGCACCAAGAGCCCCCTCGGTCCAGCACTGCACCTGGGAAGTTCCAGAAATCCTGCTGACAGCAAACCACTCGGGCACAGTTAACTCCCGGCGAGACCGAAATGACACCTACACGCACAACTCTTTCCACATCTACCGTTGCTCCCACAATTTCACACGCAGGGGAGGAATGCACACATGTACACGTCTGCATGTAATCAGCAAGAAAGTTATAGCTATGAAACCAAAAGAACGGCCCAAATAAGGCTGGAAGATAATACTACTGTTCTTAATTGCAAAATAACGACCAGCCTTTATGGGCAGACTTTTGGCTGCTTCTGTTAAGACCCAAAAGCCTGGCTGGCGGGTTGTCACTGCAAAGGTCACTGCAGCCAAACTTGTGGTCACAGTATTACTTCTCCCAGTGCTCTGTACCACCTCCAGTGCTCAAACAGGCTGCCCGCTCCACCCCTGTGGTACTACTTCTCATAGTCATCTTCTCTTGCTTTCATTATCAGAAGCTGCTGGACAAAAATACTTTTTCCTTTTTTTTTACATTTAGATTATAATTAAGTATCAGTGGCTGGGGAGCGGCGGAGGAGGGGACAACCCTTCCTTGCCTAGCAATCTGCTAGCAGGCCAGCAGAAAACTGGTTTTACCAGCTTTTCACTTTCAGCACAACCATCCCCGCCGCACATTGTTTTCCATTTCAAACGGGTGTTGAATAACCTCGAAAAGATGGCTGTGCCCAGCCTTTGCTGGCAAAAAGCTTCTGAAGGGAACAAAACCTCATGCCGAACAGACTCTATTTATAAATGTGGAATGATTTCCTTCAGTTGGCAGGATGAGGCAGTTCCAAAGGTCTCTGTGACCTGACTTCATGTGGTTTTAAACCAGCTGGCTTGTTTGAACTGAAATCCCTCTTCATTTCCATTTTGCTCCACCAGAAAAACAGTAGTTCCTCTTAAGTAACTATCCCAAATTAGGTATGTGGGAGTTGTGGTCAGGGAGTGAAGTACTGTAAGTACACGAGCTGAATCTCAGACGTTTCCATTTACATCCAAGCATAACAAGCATTTTATACAGTACAGCATCAACACCGCGAGCCAGAATCTGTGTGGAGCTTCTGCTGGGGGGATTATTTTGTTCCAAAACAAGTGTGTACCACCATATCTTGAAATTCACAAGCCCCCCGTAGAAAAAATGACCTCTAACAGTCTGAGGAAGTGAAATTGACACCTTAAGGAATAATAATAAAAAGCTTCAGGTGATACATTTTCTAAAATTCAGGTAGGTTTTACCTGCCTGCGCCATAAACCTCAACACACAGTACTGCCTTTTCAGTCTATTTTAGCGCTGGAAGAGCCCGGCCAGCGCACAAAGCACACGTACTGAGACGCCTGCACCAGCGCCGAGTTCTGAAGGGCTGAGACAAGAAGTCTGATCGTTGTTTTAATCCATCCATTGTAAATCTATTTTTTAAGTGCAGAACAGCAGGCACATAAGTAAAATTACAAAATATCCAAATGCGAAGGCCTGAAATCACTATGCCGTAATTACACCCAATACCAAAGTAGGTATCCCAGAGCAGAAAAGGCACCCTGTTATCTTAACGCAGACTTTACAACACAGCCACCTTTCAGCCTTCTGTATATAAAACCCTTTGGGCAACAACTGAGAAATCCCTTGCTCTGCTGGAAGTGTACGGCCCCAAAGAAGGCATTGCCAAGCTCTGTGTACATCCCCCAACACACCCTTATGCACTTGCAGAGTTACGAACGGTATTTTTTAAATGACTGTCAGCTTTCTTCCTCTCCCGTC